ATTTTTCTTCATAAGTTGCTAAAATAGAATAGCAAATAACAGTTAATCTCACACCCTTAATGGGTGTTCATTTTCATAAGAAAGCAAGAGACTAGGCTGATAGGCGAAAAAGGGATTCCAGCTTTGAAAATCAAGTAAGTAGGAATCTCGCCTACAGTATAAATAGATTTTAAAGTAAACAGTACACATGAACTATATATGTTTGAGTACATTTAATGTTATGAATGCTATGCTATGTTATACTACATACACTTAGGCAGTACACCCGAATTATATGTGTTCGAGTACATGATATAGTATGCTATGCTATGTCATATTGCATACCCCTTAATAAGTCAAGAGGAACTTATAAGAATAATATCAGTTGAGTGCCGTACCAGCCTCCACAAGGGAGGTAACTCCAGCTCCACAAGGGAGAAAAAGAAAATAACAATAATGTCCTCCGACTCAAGGGAGGCATTCAAGTTATAATCACGGTGTCGTGGGGGACCTTGCAAACCCTCACGTTCCGATGATTGCGCGCAAGTGGTACGAGCACTCGGGCCCATCAGTAAGAAAGATAAGATAAGATAATAAGATTCTGATAAGACATCATAATTAAGCATAATTGGCTCATGCATATTTATTCATGTGAACTTACAGTTGTTTTGCGGGAGATAGTTCCTACTTGCTGAGCGAAAGCTCATTATAGAATGTTTATACTGTAGGTAAGCAACCGGCATATAATGCATGATGGACTGCTGGCGAGTGGACGAACGATGTGGAGCTCGGGATATGGATACCACTCGCAAATATTTCCGCAATCAGCTTTATGTTACAAATAGTTTTGTTAATTATGATTATGAAACAGATATGTTAAGGTTTGAATATTTTAATTAAGAAAGCAATTTCGTATTTTATGTTTATAATAAGACCCTTAAAAAAAAATGTTCCGTAAATTTTAAGAAATTTCAGTAAGTACAAGTTAAAAAGTTAGTTACAGTGGCGGCCTCAAAGGAGGGT